TACGGGACATATTATTCAGACCAAATAATTAAATAAAGAAATAACAATGTGTACACCTTGTATTTATATCCGATTGTTATGATACTTGATTATTTCCATTGAAAAAGCCTAAATCAGACTACTGAATGAAATGTTCATTCATTGAGTGTTTTGCAAATATGAACTCAACGAACAACTATTGTGAATCTATTAGTTCGAATTTGGACGAACATTCGTATTTAAGTTACGTAATGTCTCGTTTATATTTTATTTTATTTCCTGTTCAGCGAAAAGGGGCACTTCGAACATGAAAGGAGGTACGTTCTCCGTGATTTCATTGCTTTGAAGGACAATTTATATCAATATTTTGAGATCAATAAATTCTCATATTGAAACTTTCTATCAGTTTAATATACTGTGTTAATCACCGCAAACTCACACGTAGAACCTTTCATTATCACGTTCCTGGTACACGTCATTTTTGTTGAACACCTGATCTCGCGTCAATATTGCAACTTGCACACATTTAACTTCTGATTAGATTGGTAAATCTTACATTCAGAAGTATCATATATTCAGAATACATGTTTTTACGAAATATAGGCAGATTCTTATTGCTGATGGTTGAGATCGAAACTTCTAATCAAAGTTTGAACTGTCATTAATCTTAATAAATAATCGAGTTTAACACAAAAAATTAGAAACTAATTCAGTAAATAATAAAACGTTATCAATAAAGTGAAGAGCAGATCAGTTTTATAATTATCACCTTAAAGTTAAATCTAATATTTAAGAGTAAAGTTGTATTAGTGCTCCATATTTAGTGAATTTCATCATTTGAAGAGATTCTCAAGTTCCTGTGGTTTCACTTGAACGTAATTAACATTTCGAATTGATTTTCATGAATATCTACTTTAGTAAATTGAATTTCATGTTGTTTTGACATTTTGTTAAGTTGCCCATAGACACCTTTACAATGATATATGAATACATGAATGAAAAACGATTTATCATTAATGTTTAATTTTCTAACTGTGACTGTTATATTCAGTCACCAAATAATTAAATCATCTCCAGTGATGACATTATCCGTAGTGTAAAAATATACGGAAGCGTGATATGAGAATAAACTGTTTGCAAATTTCAAAGATACTTCATCGATAAGAAATGTGTCTTCTCAAGTTTAATCGTTGAATTCATCTTGTTAAACATTTTCTAATTTTGATGAAAAGCATCTAAAATCGTCGTTTTGCAACATTTTATTCAACGCTAGGTGATGGTAAGTTGCTTAGCTTTTTATGACTCTTGAAATTCTTCATCCTCTTGCTCCAACGAACTAACAAATTGATCTCAAGTTTAATTTGAGGATATTCAATGGCTGTTAATCATGTTTGAGTATTCAAACCGTTATCACAAGTTTTAACACTCGGAAAGATGATATTGTATAACTTTCCTAAATACGTCTCAAAAACTGACTTATTCTAATGACTGAAATATACCAACTGATAAACTAGAGTTAATCGAAAAACGTCTATGATAATGCTTGTAAACTACACCAGATGTTTTGTTTTTGGTTTGCTCAAATAGATAGTTCTTTTCTTCTTGATTGAAGTTTCCGTTTAATTCTAGTGCAACTTACAAATCTTTTAGCGAAAGTTTAAATTGTTCAGTGTCGAAGCTCAGCGATCCTTGTATTTAATAGGATTTCTAGGAAGCTGGAATAAGAATAATTTCGAAATGTTGTTCAGATTACTGCAGAATTTCAACAGACTGGAAATTTGGTTCTCTCACTATTAACTTGGTTCCAGATATTATAGTTAAGTACATTTACTGACATTTAAGTGTTTGATAATTTTATACAACCGAATGTGACTGTGTGATTAGATTGCAGTCTCCGAACAAGAATTTAGTCCCAATTCTTTATGTGTAGCTTCATAAAAATTGGAGTTTCTCATACAAACAGTCTTTAAAATACACCGAAATTCTCCGCTGAATCGCAATTTTTCAATGTTTATAAACATAATCGAGTTATTGTACATTATTTTTCATTGTGTTCAGATGTATGGAAGGCGTTAATTCAAAGTTTGCAAACAATCATTTGCTTATACAGAATAACTATTCGTTGTTTGACCAAACTTTTAACAAAATGATAACTAAAAACACATTGCATCAATACACTTCTAAAATGTTTTTAATGTAAATATTTTGTGACAATAACAAACTTCTTTCTGTTACCTACTGAAATATAATGACAAGAAAATAAAGGTAACAAACGTTATCTAGTTAAACCTACGAATTTCGGCATCATTTATTGACTTGCACGATGGAAATTTACTAGGCAAGTTGATTGTTACCACGTAACATTACGAACTAGTTTTATTTAGAGAGACCTTTTGTTATCTTTATTGCCAAAATGAAGCTGATTGAAGAGGTGAACTGAGTTCTCAGTTAGCTACTGCAACAAATGATACTGAACAACGTTTGAGAATATAGTTAGTCCAATGACTCAGATATTCGTTTGATATTTGCATTCTGAAGAATTAGCAGTAATAATGAGGTCTCTATACTTATTTTATATGAATTTTGAAATGGTACACGACGGATGATGATACTATGAAAACTGTTTGATGCTAAAATCTCAAATAACAGTTCGTTTAGTTGATTACCCTCATGTCATTTAAAAATAGACTCCTATGGTAAAAACAGAAACATCCAGTATATCATATTCATACACTAATGTCTAATTTGAAGACAACTGAAGACGATTGAAGAAAACAAGTAAAGTTACATCAGTATACTTAACCTACCGAATATTAAACTTTCTCTTAATTTTGTCAAAGTATTTTGATTCATTTCATTGTGAATAAAAGATTTAAAAATAGAAAACAAACTGCACATTTTCCACTCCTTGACATTCTATAGTTTAAGGTAAACTCAAGTTTAGATCGTGTATTGTATAATGTCAATGTAGTCGAGAGATTATGCTCGGAAGACAGTCAGAATAAGTGTGAGGAAGATGACAGCATGTGCAAGCAAATTCTAAACTGAGTATTCAGAACATCTTTCCGACAGATGGAAAATCAACTTTTAAGTATTAATGTTATTTAGTAGATAGAATGAAGCTAATCCGATGGAGAAAATATAAACTCTGTGAGTGAACCAATTAACTAAATGTTATTGAATGAAGCAAGTTGATCAATTGGTAAACAGTGTGTATAACCATTCAATTTGGATAAATTTAAATACAGTATGAAGACACGAAAGCGAAACACTAATCAACTGTGGTCACAGTGTAGTATTAATGGCTCGAATCTGTCCATATTGTTGACGCAACATGTTTTGCAATAATTTGCACATTCAGAGTGCTACTTAACTAAAGATATTGTTGGAATTCTTAATGATTGAAGTGTAGAATTCAACAAAACGGTTAAATGTTTATCGCTACCAGTAATTCAGGATACATTTTACAATTTCCACTAAATAAACTTTGAAACAAATATTTGCTGGAAAACTAACTAAACAAGTTTGTGAATTTCAGAGGCGAAATAATCTATAAACAGCCTGATATTACACAAGTCAGAAGTGTAGATCAGGTTTCTACATTGAAAATAATAATATCAATTAACTCACGAGGTCAGTGAGCATTCCTGTACAACTGAAATTCATGCAAATTGATCAGTTCAACAGTAATTTCGTGTAATATGAAGAAAAGAAACAATTAATGTTTACAAGCACTGCCTGATAGTGAAATTCTTACGTGGATGTGACATTTCTTGACACCGAATCTATGCAACGATTTGTATTGGATTCATTGTTTGGTGATAGACAGTAGATCGCATGCTGTCATTACCTGATCTGAACTAGCTTTATACCAATCTCTCGCAAGCCGGATGCATTGTTGATATGTCTTCTCGACTGAATACTACTTGTTATATCTGATCGTCACTGATTGTTATGTCGGAGTCGCTTATCACTTGTACTTGTAAAGCGATGAACCACCTCAATTCTCAGGATGAGATAGTAAAAACACAAAGACTGATACAAGTGAAGATTGATTAGTCACAGAATATTACGACATCTATCTTATTCGGAGAATACACTCATTTATGTATTGATTTGCACACACATTTTGATCAATAATTAGGATAAATTCACATATATGAAAAATACTTACGGCAATAAATCACATTCAACGTATCATAATGAGTATAGTTCATGTTAACTTAGTACAGCAATACCGTATGTTATACAGAATAAAATATCACGATGGGAAACAGAAACGGAAACCACATTGAGTAATCATCACATTGAATTAAAGAACATTAGTCAGCTACAACGTAGGACCAGGCATATATATGTAGCGGTCCAAGTTGCCAAACCACATTAGCACAAAACGGAAATAATGTTGAAAAAAATCATGATGAGTAGATTAATCTAATTTTAATTTTTCTTCCTGTCATTTCAATCGTCTCATTCTTTACAAATCCATAAATGAAATATCCTTTGTTGCCAAATATCTCGATACCTCTGATGAAGCATTTCAATAATATGTAGCTTACTGTCACAATAACCTAACACAAACCCTATCCCTTACCCTAACCAAACTCACACAGATATTTAAATAGTGGATTGTTTGTCCAAATTACAATGATCAGAGAAATAATACAATAGTTTAATGAGCTTACTATAACCAAACCCATAAACCTAACGCTAACCCTATCACTAACACTAATGAATATCATTCTTGTCAATATTCAATTATTACCGATTATTCATTCTTGTATGTCGCTAATTTCTTCATACTGTACGCTTTTTTTAAATATTTTCTACATAATCTTTATGCGCATTCAGTTTTTAACTCATGTAATTTTATTTTACATTTTCTAAAGTACAAGTAGGTAACTCGTGAAAATGAAAGTAAATTTGATACATTGTATGAAGTAACGCAACGCATGCAGTTTATTGCAGTCTAGGTGTATTACAGTAATGATTCAAATTTTATCATGTAATATTTCTTTAGTTTAGACAAAATATGTTGAAAGATGTGAAAATATCACGGAGTTCACAATTAACAATATTGATATAGATTTCGAATAAGTTGGTAAACGAGCATAATTGTTGGTGTCATTATTATTTTTATTCAGAGTATAATTGTTGTCTGAATGCTCATCTTGTGTTTGGTTTGGTTTGATCGTTATTTCCATATGTTCAATATTTTTGTTGATCAACGTACATGGTGCATAGACAAACATTAAATTAGTATTATTTTCATAAATTTTATAATATAATTGTTCTGGTCTAAAACGAGTTTTCACTCCATATGGATAATGAATGGACATTGGAACAAAAATCTCTGCAACTAACAATGCTGAGTTCACGTTTGTACAATACTCCAGTGTTGGTACAAAAGCATAATGAAACACACCTGAATCCACATCGAATCTCAGTTCGACAGGTTGACCGGCAGTCGATTGTGAATATGTACGACTGAATGATTTCAATAGAGCAAGAACAAACATTGATGCAGAATAGTATGAATTCATATTATTTCGAGGTTTCTCGTCAGCTGCTTACAAACCAAAATTGTGATAGAATTTTTTACATGGAGATAGTGTGAAAACAATTGACATAAATGAGTGTAAATAACTGGATTACAATAATAACTATGTATATATATATATGCTAGAAACAGGTCAGAGGTCAAAAGAGGGGGGGTTAATCCAGGGTGGGTGGTGTAATAATTTAGTGAAGTTCATAAATTGTGATAATTGTAGAGATTAATGAAATTAAATAATGATAAAGTAGATTACGTAATAATAATTAAATAGAATTTGGAAAGTTAAGATAATTTAAGAGGATCAGGTGGTGGAAATGTGTGAATAAAATTTATTTTAAGAATTAGCTAATAGGGGGGGAGTATAAAATATCTTAGAATAAGTAAATGAAAAAATAACCAAAACACAAAACAAACAGAAACAAAAAGATTACCAGGGTAGTGATAAGTTTATTAAAGTCTCTTTTTGAATGCATAAATCCGGTTTCAGTTTCTTAATTGCAATGGCTTCAGCAAAGCGGAGAGTGGTAGTAGTTCTTTGTCTATTGATAATTTTAAACGCGCATATAATATCGACGGTATGCCCGGTGTCAAGTAGATGCCGAGCTATTGCACTATTAAAAGCTTTAGTCCCTCGCAGCGTCAAGTTCTTCGGAATATGCTCAGAAATGCGAACCTGTACTCTTCTCTCAGTTCTTCCAATGTATGTGCTACGGCACGTACATGTGAATTGGTAAATGAATGATTTCAAATGCATGGTGAATAAGATAAAATAAACCATTAAATTTATAACCAATATACAACGAAATGAAACAAGCTACTGCATTAATGTGAAATACATATACAACTTATTCAATTTGAAGACAGTGTAAATCATGACCTGATAGCTTGATAGCCAAAGGAACTAAGGAAACTTTGGAGAGATATTCTAGGATGAAATAGTTATTCACATATTTCTAAAGGAACCATGACTAATTAGTGTTTTATCGTTTCTGGTGGTTAACGAAAGTCTGATATTGCCTAATACTGGAGTTTTCCGAAGTTTATCCAAAGCCAAACAAATGAGAGAGGCAAATAATGTATAATTGTAAAGTTAAGCATTATGATGTATTGAAAAGTTAGAGAAATGTAGTTCAGAAGAGAAAATCAATTATCGGACGCTCACACGATCTCTTTTTGTATCAGTGAAAAATAAAATAAGTGTGGTATTATTTCTGCGGAGAAACCAAAGACCATACAAAATGTGTACGAAAAGGTCCAACTCGAAAACCGTCATCACGATAATTAATACTCCTTAATCATGTTTCATTGTCGTAAATTCTATATAAGGTTAAGCGTTCTACTTTCGATCTCACCAACTCATGATATCTCTTAACTTACGCTTATACATGATCTTAGAAGTTTGTTGACCATGTGATGGTGTACAGTGGAAATTTGTCGATCACAGAGACGTGTGTTTAGGCAAAAGGCATTTGAATAGTGGTTAATTTCTCTCATTCTTTGTTTTTTCTACTTCTAGTATATTTTGATTGAACTGCAAAACTCTGAAGTCATGTAATGGTAGTGAAAATCACTCACAAAAGAAAACGTATGCATTGGTTAGTCAGTGGATTGTAGTAATTCCTGCTCTATATAAAATAGCGGGAGTGTATGTTTAGAATTCTATTAAATAGACGAAGAAAGCATTGTTGAGACAGTTGACTGTAACTGGGACCAACATGACTGGGGTAATTAGTTCTGAAGAATACTTTAAACAGTCCAGTTTAGGGAGTAGTTATAGTAATACTTAAAGAGGTAATCAATGGACAATCAGGAATTAACTAGACTTCATTTGTCCAACATTGATTGGAGATCTGATATATGAAGAAACTCACAGGAGAGCAAATACCGTACACTAGGTGGGTGTATCACAATTTTTCAGTTACGCGTACTTGATAAATCGATCTGCATCAATTCTTTCTCTGTTCTTGTTCACTTAATTGTAATATTTCGGATAACATGAAATTCAAGCAGAATGTAGATAATGGGGACTCGAAGAGGGATTTTAGAATATGTTCCTTACAAAGTAATTGTTTAAATCGCCGAGTAAGCGCTCTGTGAGTAAGATAACATAAACGCTTAATTTTAAAAACAATATACAACGTATTTGAACTCACTGTTTACTGTCATGTTAACATTTTCCCTAACTATACATCACTTAATTTATTAGCAGTTTTGTTTTGTTTGGGCTGTTTAAGCTCTAAAAGAAATTCTCAAAATCAAAAGCATAAACATAAAACATTATATTTGGTGAAATTTTCCTCTGAGTTTATCAGGGTTTCTCCACTTGAGTTCGCTACACTTGATATTGCTTCCAAAGGGGAGGCGGAAAGGATGCAGTTCTGCGGACGCCGTTGAGAGGCCGATAAATGAGTGATTAGTTTGTGTGGTTCGGCCTAGGAAGTCGACGTAATGTGAAGTGTTCTGGCAGTGTGGTGTTTGGTGTACTAGATGCTGCCAATAGCGATAAGGATTTGGACGTCCGTTTTAAGAAGAAAGCCTCACGGCATGCAAAACATCTACAGGAGCGACCGTTTGAAGGGCGAGGGGAAGAATCTGGTGGATGCTTAGTATGCTGACAGTTTAAAGAAGTATGTAGGAACATTCGGAAATAGAATACCGAAATCGGAAGATTGAAATGAAGAAAACAGAAAGAAAAATGAAGAGGAAATGCAATAGCAGTAGAACTAGAGGAATAATGGATTATGTGAAGGACAATGAAAAGATGTGCAAATGTTATATATGTGTGATTTCTATATTTTGCAAAGCAACTGTGTGATTGTGAACTAAACGACAAATCGGATTTCCCCACCTGAGTTCTCGTTTACGACAATACGAATATGGGAACTACCATTTATTTCCTAAATTTATTCTGATGGTATGGTCCAAAATGAAAATTATAAATTCGTTCAGCGTGCAGAACAAAATGACTCCAATAAAAAATTGACATAAATCCAAAAAATGTTTTATGAATATTAAGACCTACGGAAATGTTTTCTACAATTAAGTTGAGAAAAAATTCATTTCCGTCCCAATAAGTCCAGGATTCGAAGTTACTGTCGGCTGTATTCATCACAGCGTTACATTCAACCGTATTTATTGAATCTGGATTGCCATCAGGATGACACCGACCGAATTCTGTTAAAAACCGTCCGCCACAAGTGTATTTAACTATACTTCTCACATTATTGAATGCATAATTCAAGAGAAGCTACACACAAGCAATATCAATGTTAACATTGATTAAGTATGTGAGTGATTATTGCAATAAAACTAGACTACAATAAACTGCATACACTGCGTCAAGGTAATAAGACATTATTCATTTTGTTCATTGTCTTATCACTGATTACATTTATGACTGAGCCATAATTAAGAAATCACCACAAAATATATGAAGAATGAAATCACTTATGAAATTCCACACAGTATGAAGGACGGTTTGAATACATTGATTGTGTAGGGTATTCATGAAATCACATCATGTCAGCTCATTCAATCATGAAACATTTATTTTATAAATTGATTAGCACCTATTACTATTAATTACAGTTTTCATCTCAAATCATAGTGTTCTGTTCACCCCAATCAGTTCATCATTTATTAAGAAAATATTAAACATTTATCTATATCAGTTGCAACTACTATTTGTGTTTTAAATGAAATATTCACTGTTTTGTCTAACATCATACATTCTGTATGTGCAGTCCGCAAATGGGTGCTCGAAGCAAACAAAATAACTTATTTGTCAATTTTATTTTTACACTCAATGTCATACAAGTTGGTGCGAATAACAGAATAGAATTGCACTTCCCCTTGTATCTATCGATGTAATGATCAGCTAAGAGTTTCACTTGACTTCATAAACTGGAGATTGTGTCAATACAGAAATTGTGTACATTTGCGTGCGAAATCCTACGGTGCTTATGAATGGGTTTCAATAAATAACTGAGTTTAATCATAGCTACAAAATAACTAATTTTACTTTAAAAAGTAACACAAAATACATATTAATCCAATGCTTCTATTTACACTCACACTGTTAGTTTATAGGTGGTTTTGGCTAATTCACTATATCTCAAGAATATTTAGATGATATAATTCATACTTATCATTGCTCTATAGCATTATTCATCATTGTTGTTTATTCATCTACGCCCATATTCAGACACACCCATTAATATATCCTTTGCTAGTTAGGATGATTCATAAAACATATATAGTGTTCCCTTGTAGAAGGAATGTGGAAAGCTCTCATCTTATTCAATTTGTTTTAATCAATTACAAAGTACACAATCGTTCTAACAATTTTGCAAACTTATTCATCATCATCATATGGTTTACTGAGAGTATTTCCATGGTGAAAGCAAATGGATTGTTGATTGATAATTGATAAATATGAGCTAGTATATGGAAGTGTTTCAATCAATTCTAATTAAATAAATTCTGAAGTATGTGAATGTTTTGGTGTTGTTTTCATCATTGATATTATTTTAATTATTACTATTTCTATGTTTGGTATCCAATCCATACTTTGTGAACGGTTTAGTTTTCACAGAGAATCAGCAACAGTGAATGTATTACATAAAACAAGAAATATTTATATGAATCAATGTCCTATAGCAGGTCCTGGGTTCGAATTCCGCGGGGTGCGAGGTCGTGAATGCGCACTGCTGAGGAGTTCCGTACCGGGACGAAACGGCCGTCCAGTGCTTCCAGGTTTTCCATGGTGGTCTAGCTTCAATTGACTCATGATTTCAACCAGTGTAATATCTAAAAATCTGTACAAAACCAATTCTGATAGTTATATGTTTGTTGAATATCTAAGCAATTGTCAATTGTCTTGTTCGGTGGAAGCGAGAACAACTGACAACAGGTTGTAATCACGTTTTGTTGTTCATGGGCAGCTGCATACTAGTGATGAAA